TATATACACATAATATGTATCATCATCCAGTGTAAGATCTGCGGCCGATATCGGCGATTATAGTTCTCCATTCATTCCTTTGCTTGGATGCTCATAAAAAGGCTACGCTTCCCTAAACTTTCCCAGTTACCCATTTTTTTTTTTAGGTTCCCTAAGTAAGTTGCTCTGGTTTTTCTTCAATTTTGCCAGTGAGAGCTAAATGTTCAAGACCTTTATAACTATTCAGGTGTCCCAAAAACTGCATTTGTCGTTTCCTGGTTGTTTTTAAAATTGAGCGTCCCAAGTGGGCTTTATTAAGCACTAGATCTACCTCATTTGATTTCTTTTCCTTCCGCGATATTCTCAGCAGTGTCTTAAGAAACCACATTTCTGTTGCTTCTATTTAGTTAGTTTTAGTAGAGGTTTTACGGCGCTCCCAACTGCATAAGGTCATATGAGTGCGAATGGGTGGATGTCAACAGAGAAGTCCTTACAGGGAATCAGACTTACTCTGCTTACCTCTCTAGCTTCAACAGCGCAAAGTCTGCTTCGACTATCAAGGCACCCCGGAAATAGTGGGTCACAAAAGTGTAACAAACATACAAAAGCAGTAGAGGAAAAATGACAATAGTAAGGATAAGAAAAGAAAAAGCAACAGTTTCCTGTTGTAGATCAGGCACAGTTATGAGTGTGACATTGATGAATCAGCCCATTTACAATTCTACTGCGCATGAACGAGAAATGTCCCCCCTTTGGGAAAGGCCTAAAGACACTTCAGTCAGTGGCACCGCCCCGGGGTGAAGGGGGGGTGCTTCTATTTATTTTCATTCTCTTTAGTGATTGTCCAGCATTCATAGACATATAGAAGGATTTTGACAATACATAACATTTTGGAACTTTTATTTTGATGGTCATTGAGGTGTTTCTATTTTTCAGGATTTGGCTCATTTTATTTATATTAGCCTTAGCCATTGCAATTCTCCATTTTTTTTCTTTAGAACATTTGGTATCAGATGTTGTTACATATCCTAGATATTTAAACTGTTGGACTTGTTTGATCTTTTCGCCTCTGCAAATGGGATCACAAATAGGATTTGTTGTGGGTTGTTTTTGTTTTTATTACCATGCATTCTTTCTCTTTACATTCACCAATAGTCCTTTACGTTCACTTTTACGTTCACTTTCCGTTTAATCAGTATCTAGAAGCGATTGAAGGTCCTTTTCTGAGTCTGCTATTAAAAATGTGGTCATCGACATATCTGATGTCATTAATATTTTCGCCATTCACTTTGAGACCAGAACATTCTTCTATGCTTCTAAGGATTGTTTCACTATACATATTAAAGAGGTCTGGTGACATAACGACACATCCTTGCCTCACTACACGTCTAATCTGCTTACATTCGCTGTATTCTCCATTAATTTGTACGGTCCCTGTACAAATTCCTGATAATTCTTGGATCTTTCCCATCTATGTCTAGCTTTTTCAGTATTTTAAATAGCTCATCATGTCTAACTTTATCAAACGCCTTTGAATAATCTATGAAGCCTAAATACAAATCTTTCTGTGCTTCAATACATCTTTCCATTAACATTGTTAAGGTAAATATAGCATTTCTGGGGCCCTTGTCAGAAACGAAGCCTTATTCTATTCCTTAGAGTAAGTAACCATATAACCGTCTTACACTGACAGGAAATGAAGTAAGTAACCGTATAACCGTCATATACTGACCGGAAGTGTACTCGTTCTGCCACCAGGGGTTACACACCGGGTAGGCAAGCGGGGTGTTGGAGCCGCTGACGTCAGAGCAGATGACCCCTAGTATGGAGACAGGCAGGAGGAACACCAACAGACCGGTGCTCACTTTGCTACTGGCCATCTGTAGGTGGGGCTGGCG